TAGTGGAAAAATAGGCTCCAACGGACCAAAACATTTAAGGGGTGATTGGCACAATTTGTGGGATTTGATTAAATTTGGATCTGCTGAAATTCACCCAGACAGCGCTGTCCTAGGCTTGGACATCGCTGTTCTAGGCTTGGTTTTTAAAAATTGGGAAGCAACGGTCATGCCAACAGCGATGTCCAATACCCCTACATCGTTGTTTTGGCTTTTGACTTCCAAACAAGGAAAGTTTTAGCCTTAAATTTCTTCCAACGGTCAGGTCCCTACATCGATGTTCATTACTTGAACATCGCTGTTTAGGTCTGACTTTTGAAGATGGAAGTTTGGCCTGACAGCGCTGTTGCTGGGTCAATATCGCTGTCTAAAAACTTTCTGCCAATGCACTGTATTTTTGGCTTAGGTTGGACAGCGCTCTAGGGAAGCCTACATCGCTGTTTCAGAAGTTTCTGGAAATCCAACCTTGGCTCAACAGCGATGTCTAACATCCAACATCGCTGTTGGAAGACTTAACGCCAAACCATGGTTTTCAGCCACCCAAGCCAGACAGCGCTGTTGGTTTCACCAACATCGCTGTTGGGCTGGTTTAGCCAGACCCATGGTTGGTTTAGTTAGCCGTTAGCCGATGTCAAAAATGTAAGTTCTCCAAAATAAAAACCAAGTATTGAAAATGTTTTTTTATTGTATTTTGCTAAGAAATCAAGTAAAAAATTTTGAAAACCACGTCATTTAGTTGAAAACCACGGCTAGCCAAGTTTACGCCGTTTCGCATGGTTTTCACTAAACGACCAAAAACGAAAGGTGGTTTTTGAAGCGTTTTTGTTGGAGAACTATTTAAACATGCCCAGAAGTAAAAACTAATCATTAAAAGTTGAAAACCACTTGGTTGGTTTGGACGCCAAAAACCAATGCCGATAACCGAAAGCCGAACGCCGGTTTCCGAAGGCCGAACGCCGGATGGCTTGGTTTTTGGTTTGGGCGAACTCCAAGTGTTTTTAGGCAGTTTAAAACTTAAGAGAAATATTTTTGAATATGCAAAAGATATTTGATGAGAGAAGCCTAGAGAGCCAAGATTTGAAAGTTTGTGCCGGTCTTGATCACATTAAGACCGACTCAATAGAATTCTAATTCTTCGTTCTTGATTCTTGGTTCTTGGTTCTCAAATCATCATGCCATGTTCCTTCGCCTTGGTTTTGCTCACTTTAACCTTGTTATTGTCACGGCGGTTTG